GCGTTAGACCGCTCACCGGGGCCTGTGGACTACATACATCTCATCTTACCGTACCTACAGGATACCCCTTTGAATCGTGCTGTGTAATATAGCACAATATCACAGCTTCGAGAAGATCGGTGTCTAGCGCGGGGGCGGGGGAAGGGCAGAAATAGCGAGTGGAGGAGAGGAGCAAGGGCAGGGAAATATGATGGAGTATTTCAAAGTTTGATGCAAAAATGCATGATCGCACTGGCTCGCCTGGTGCGTTCCAGCCTGGGTTATTTATTGTACTAATTGAGAATTATAACAGCTGCGATGATGATTAGTAATATTATAATATGGAAGTAATATTAGTAATCATAATAACAATAATAATAAATAATACTTAGAATGCTTTGATTAATTGTAATTCCAAGAACACCAAGATTGCCGGGACTAATGGCCATTCCGTGTTGGTTATGTTATTGGATGCTTCCAAACATCGGGCGCAGCTATGCCAGTTCTTCGGTCCTGACCTACATATCTTTAATTCGTACCAACTGCTTTTTCGATGTAATTCGCAAACTGCGATAATCTCTTGGAGAAGCCGAAACGAACGTTCTAATCGCCAGCAGGCTGACTACCACTGCCCGGAGTAACAGGATAGCTGCCAGCTGCATAAAAATCGTGATAATAATTGCAGTTTTAATCATGATAATAATAATAATTATAATATGTTGTTTATAATTTTCCAGAAATGCGGTTTTGATCGTGCACTGTTTTGTCCGGCCCGATTGCAAAGTTCTCTGGATGTATATAATGATCAGACTAATTTAATGAATGATAATAAAGAACAGATTGCTGTTGTTGCAAACCATGCCGATCATTGGAGGAATCTCATTGGCGTGACGTCCTCTGTAAGTTTTCTTTCCTTCGCCTTGAGATTTGCTTTTTATTATGATATGACGTTATTAATTTGCAGTTCAAATTAATTTTCGCCAAGGTACGAGCTGCCCGTGCGAAGATGCGTTTTTTGCATAGTTCCCTGCAGATTTTTGCCGCTAACGGCACTGTTTTTTTCGGCAGATGCTTCTAGCTAAAAGAATTTCAGATTGGCCGCCAGAACTGTCAGGAAACATTCCTTCAAAATTCCAGTCTTCTAGCTTCTCAGATTCCCGAGTTAGCAACTTACACGAAAAAATCTTTCACGAGCCCATACGTAGCGATGACTTATAACCGAGGGCTAGATTTGAGCTCATTAATACCTACGTGAATGGAGAATATTCCTTTAAAATACAGTTTTCTAACTTTACAGTTTTCTAACTTTTCAGGTTACCTGAAAAAGACTTTCACGGGCCCGCACTTGGTTACAACGCATCCTCGTGGACTGGCTTTGAATTCATTAATACTTCTTTGGACAGGGAACATTCCCTTAAAATCCAATCTTCTCAGATTCCCAAGTTGTCAACTTACCGAAAAAAATTTTTATGGATTGGTACATGGATACCACACACATCCGTGGGTTGGGTTAAGCTCATTAATACCCACTTAGATGGGAAACATTCTCTTAAAATTTCAATCCTCTAGCTTTTCAGGTTCTCGGGTTACTAACTTACCCGAAAGAATTTTGGCGGGCTCGCACGTGGGTACCACGCATACCCGAAGGCTGGATTTGAGCTAATTGAGACTTACGTGGACAGAGAATATCTCCTCAAAATTTAAGCTTTTTAGTTTTTCTGATTCGCGAGTTAGCGACTTACCCGCAAAAAACTTTCACAGGCCCGTACATGTGTACCGCACGGGTAAGAGCGCCCATTTTGGTGACTGGGACCCGTACGTGCATTTAGATTAAGTTCCCAAACTTTCGGCCCTGTAGCTTTTATAGGTCTTGAGATGAAAGACCGTGACAGAGGCACACACAGACAACCGCTCGTCAATATGCGTTTTCTGCATTGCAAAGCTGCAAAAAACGCGTAATAAATGAGCTCAAGTGATGGGGGAGGGGTAGGGAAGCGTGAAATGTTCAGTGCTTACTCCCAACGTGGGGTTCCTTACGTTTACTCACTCTGGGATGGAACAGTGATACTTATAACAAAGAACTTTTTATTTTCCTGTTGTTTTCTGTCATCTGCTGTTTCTTTTGTTTTTCTTTTGTTTTCTTTTTTCTTGTTTTCCATTGTTTCTTATTGTTTCCTGTTGTTTTCCATCGTTTTCTCTTGTTTTCTGCTATTTTCTGTTTTTTTTTTCTGTTTGTTCGTTTTCTATTTTTTCCTGCTGTTGCATATTGTCTCCTGTTTTCGATTGTTTCCTGCTGTTTTCTATTTTTTCTATTCTTTCTTTGTTCTTTTGTTTTCTATTGTTTCTACCGTTCCTTATTATCATTTATTGTTTTCTATCGTTTCCTGTTGTCTTCTGCTTGTTGTGGACGGGGCCGTTTTCGAAAATTGTTCGGGACCGGCTGGAAATTGAACCATCCCCCCTCACGTCCGGATGTAAATGTGTTACCATTACACTACTAGTGCTTGTGCTCCAGGTTCAGCCTGGCAGCACATCTAGTATTCATCTGCCCTTCAAGGTGAATGCACCTTTCTTCTCTCTTTTTCTCTGTAACGACTATTCGGAGGGCTTTTTGCAGGTTTTCGCGACACTTCCGTTTCCTGTGTTTTTCTATTTTTTCCTTTTTGTTTTGTCTTCCACTGTTTTTTGTTTTCTGCTGTTTCCCATGTTTTTCTGTTGTTTTCTTTTCTGTTTTCCATTGTTTCCTACTATTTCTTATTATCTTCTGTTGTTTTCCATTACTTTCTACTTTTTCTGTTGTTTTCCGCCTTTTTTTCTTTTCTGTTTTCTGTCCCTTTATTTTCCATTGTTCCTGCCGTTCATATTTTCTTTATTTTCTGTTGTTTTTTTTACTATTTTCTGTTGTTTTTTGTCCTTTTGCTTTCCATTGTTTTCTGCTGTTTCTTATTGCCTTCGGTTGCTTTCTGTTATTTTCTGTTCTATTGTCTTCTTTTATTTTTGCTGCTATTATTGTTTTTATTATTACTATTCACATATTTTATTATTCAGTTCGTCCATCTGTTTGATACCCCCGGTTTTTGATCTCTTAACTTCTCTGTTCCATGTTTTTCTATGGCATAACAAGAAATAATAAATTCTCAGGACTCGACGGTTGAAGAGTTTGATTGTATCCAGAAAGCAATTGAAAGGATTGAAGAATTTGAATGCTTGAAGCATGGTGAAAGATATAATGATGAAATTGTTGTTCTTGTTACTGGTAGTTTGCATCTTGTTGGAGGTGTCCTGGCATTTATAGACCGTGAGATTGACACTTTTGCGTAGACATGTGTTTAATTTGAATTTCCGGGTACAGCTAACAGGATATTTTTGGATAAGTGAACATACGGTGGATTAAGTCGAGCTTTGGGTATACTACAGTTTCGAAGGTATCTTAGGGATATATGCTGTTGCTGAATTGGGTGAAGGAAATAAGTGAACGATGCCCTTTTTCGAAAATTATTCTAAATCGAATCACACCTGTTCTTGTCCGAATGCAGTGTGTTACTACTGCACTACCAGTCTTTTTGCTTCAGTTTCAGCCGATAGCACATCTTCTGTGTACCTGCCTTTTAGAACTATCCCTTTCTTTCATTATCTTTTCTTTTTGTGACAGCTTCTTAGCCGGCTTTTTGCGGGTTTTCCACGGAAATAAGTACATGTTGATAGCACCACTTCCCAATTGAGTTGCGGATAACTAAAAAATGCTAGGGAAAATTTAAAAAAAAAATGTGCATTATATATGGCAGTCAAGTTAAACGCTGCAAAAATATGTGTATTTAAGCAGCGTGCACAATATATATGTGTAGTTGCTCTGTGGAGAACAAGGGCCTGTAGTGTAATGAATAAAGTACCAGCTTCACTGTTCAATGAATTTGCAAGCAGTAAATGTGTGAGGTTCGAATCCTCCCCAATCTACATGTTTTTATAAAATGAGAATTTGTTCGTGGCAATCCACTGTTGTCCCGAAAAGGTTTGTTGTGGTTTCGGATAATTCCGCACAGAAAAATGAATTATCGATATTAATAACATATTGAAATTTTAGAATAGTCTTGGTATTTATTTTAGGATCTAAACTGTCATTGACATCCTCCCATTCGGGGTATAGGATTGCCGAAGCATAAAATTGTTGTTTTGATAGCATTGTTTTTTCCTATACATTCCTGCTCGCTTTTCATTCATGTCAAATTGATGTTTCATGTTTTTGATATTATGATGTGTACCAATCTGTACATATAAATCATTTTTTTTTCACCAGTGGTTTGGGGAAGGGAAACAACCTTATAGACAAAACAAATTGGTGAAGTAGATTCTGGATTCTAAAAACCATCAATCCGTAAAACTGAGATCTGGATTCTAGAACGCCAAAAATCTGGGGAGGGGAGGGGGAACGGAAAAAGGTGGGGTGCGAAGGGGAGGGGGGAGACGTAGGAGAATTTCGAAAATGCCAGAATTTGGGTGAAAAGTTGGAATTCCAGTTCCTAGAAATGAGAAAAATATAGGGCCTGGAATCATGAAAATGTCATCATAATACATACATATGAGAGCGCGATTAAGATATCTTCGTCTCATAAGGCTATCTAGCACTTTAATCATGCAATCATCGCATCACAAATCCTAATGGATTGCTCGGATACTAATGGATTTTTCCGTCGCCACCGGCACCTGTTTACGTCTCACTCCACATTCACGTCATCCTGTAAGACTTTTATCATTAATGCATTCTGCAAGAACATTTGTTTACATGCTTCTTTGAGATTTGTGTTCACTTTACCCGCGCTAAACAGCAAATTCTTTGGATTGACAACACAGAGTACAAGCACATTTTTCCAGCACGTGCTCCAGCAGCCTAGGCCATATAAAAGCAATTCATTCAAACAATTCCATTCTTCAAGCTCTGTGAGAGGCGAAGGCACTCTGAAGTAATTGAGCTGGTAACCCACTGCCAAAAGCAACCAACTGCTGGCAGTATTGTTGATTTTGGTTAAGGGTATGTTCAAAAAATTCAAGATGGCTCCTGGCTTATCATTTATCATCGCTCATCATTTCTTTTTTTGCTATCTAAAGCCCTTGAAAGCTAAACTCATGAAGTCGTGCTGGAAAATTGGTGCAGCGGATAATGCAGCCAGATGGATGAAAGTAATTTCTATTTAGGTCAAGTTTATTTAAAGTTTCTTGATAAAATTATTTGCCCCTGGCCCTCGCGTTGTAACCGAAGATACTGAATTACTTATTAGGTTTAAAATGTATTATAAGCGTTATTTAAGGAGTTGATATTGGCTGATGGTGATGGTGTGTTAGAGTATTGGAGACTGAAATCGATACTGCATATGAAGAAATAATAACATAGCTAAGATTAAGACGTTTCGATTCATTAAGCTCTATGCATTTTAGCGCCGGCACTGCATCTTCTCAGTACAACAGCAGTAGCACAAATTACTTTGTAATAAATAAAAAACCCCAGAGATTTATAGGACAAGAACGCAGAAAGAAAACTGTAGGAGATAGGTGGCAAGGTAAGAAAAGGCGGTAACCGAGTTTAATTCTCACTTACAGAGGCTCAGTTGTTCTTGCTCGGCAGCTTCTTATACCTTACAAATCCGATCAAAGTTCCTCGGACATTCGCTCTCTTTCTTTGATGATGGTTGGTGTACGTCGTCTCATTGCTTAAAAATGTTACCTTGCATCGTCAACAGACTGACAGACAGGCAATACACCGTTGGACAGAGTAACTGAAAAAGTTATCGGTTGCATAGTTGGAGAACGAACCTATAAATAGCAATTGATCAAAGTATCAAAGTAAGCACTTCCAATAGTTTTTTACTGTATTTTTTGCAGTAATCAAAATTCTGTTAATAATTACCCAGATTTCTGCT